CCACCCTCCCAACTCCTCCAGCTCTCTCTTTCTCTCCTTCTCTCTTTCCAGCCAAAGGAAAACTCCTCCATTCCCTGCATTCCTTTTACATTCCAGCTCCTTACCTTCTCTACCTCTCTTTCTACATCAACATCACCTCCTCCTCCTCTTTTGCCCATGGCTCTCTGTCTACCTTACTCCACTTCTTTCCCTCTATCCCTACCTCTCTTCCTTCTCTCTCTCTCTCTCTTTCTATATCTCCCTTCCCCCCTCCCTCCTCCCTCACTCTTTCCCAGCATGCTCCAGTGGGCCCATGGAGGCAGGGGGCTCGCCTGAACCCTCCACCCCCAGCAGGGGCCCTCCAGCTCAGCCTTGCTGGCTGGCAGGCTCCCTGGCACACCTCCAGCACAGCACACACACACACACACACACACACACACACGCACACACACGCACACACAGATTTTTCTCTTCTCTGCTGGCTTGCTGTCTCTTTCTGGCTCCTTTCTGTTAGCCTCTCTTGCCTTCAGTCTTTCTTCTCTTTCTATAATGCATTTCTTTTTTCCTCCTCTCATTTATTTAATCTCAATCTAAATTTAGTGATGTTTGATGTGCATCTCTTATTTAGTGAGTACCTTACTGTAAAGAAAACCTGAGTAATTGTAATTATGTGTTGGCAAAATTAATAATACTGATGTTAGTATGATCATTTTAAACTCATCTTACAATAGCACACATAATATAAGAGCAGTTTTTATGTAATTATTACTACCAAAACTATCAAAAAAATGGTAATGGTTGCACAGTCTCAAAAGCTTTTTTATTTTTGTGCAGGCATTATATGGGAACAACAGCCAGCTATAGAATAAATGTTCCATGTAAGACATTCTGGGAATTTGCCAGCTCAGGACCTGGTAAGATTTCTGTAAATCCTTCATCATGAATCTTGTGGGAACAAAACCTGTAACATTCTCTACTGCAACATACAGATGCTTACAACATTTCTATTTCAGGCAACAGCCAGCAAGGCTAACATTATCACAAAGGGACTGAAATCCAAATGCAACAAAAAGAGGAAACATCAAGCAACACGCATCATCAGATGTTTTAGCAATATGGCAGGCAGGTGGATAAACATGGCCTTTACAGTCGCCAGATCTCAACCCAACCGAACACTTATGGCAGATTGTGGGACTGGATGTTCCACAGTACTTTCCTCCACCATCATTAAAACCCCAAATGATGGAATAGTGTTCAGCAGAGGCTCAGAGACTTGGAAAATCTATGACAAGGAGGACTGAAACCGTTCTGATCACCTTACTAATACACTCTATATTTATTTTCTGTTTAATCCTAAGCGTAATTGTATGAAATGATGTATGTATATTACAACTTTTATGTTTAAACAGGAGATTGGTGTTCTTAGTTGTTGCAATATGTTGTAATATACGAAAGACACTGGACTTCTTTCACACTCTCACTTTGACACAGACAATGAACAAACTAACAGAACAGAGAGAATACAGAGAGTGGGAAATTTTATATGTAACAGTTTGATTCTCCAGTGTTAGAAATGAAGAATTCTCTTTTGCCTTTTTTTTTTTTGGACAAAATTGCCAAAAAGATCATATGAAACATTGATGAGATGTGTGTGTGTGTGTGTGAGGCAGAAAAGAGAGAGAGAGACAGAAAGAGAGGAGAGAGAGAGAGAGAGAGAGAGAGAGAGAGAGGCCCTCAGTAATTTGGTATTTCCTTTTTAGACAGGGGGAGAATGGCCAATGCCCTCATTTTCAGTATAAAGTGCACACACACACACACAAACACACAATG